TAGTGCCCCATCATTGGTATTAGTTGGAGGAAGAGTGCCCCATCATTGGTATTACTAGGAGGAATAGTGCCCCATCATTGGTATTAGTAGGAGGTACAGTGCCCCATTATTGGTATTACTGATCCACCAAAAAGAGATGTTGTATGTACTCTCCAGCACCCCAGGATATGCACAGCCAAAAGGGAAGCCAAGGGTACCAGGACAGCGACAACCAAAGGAAATGCTCCAGGGGTGCAGCCCTCCTCAGACGGGGAAATCAGCCACTGGATAGAGAGAAAAACAATAAACCTTGGATAATGCACTAGGTGTGTGCACCAAAAAGAGATGGTTGAAGATCCGTTCTCCTTCCATCCATCGGATTGGATGTCAGTTGGATGGAAATGGACAGGCAGTCCGTTTCCGTCAGACCCTCCATGGAGGACAGCGGCTGTGTCCCGGTCACTCTACATAAGCAGAGCGGACACGGGCCTGTCATCTGCTCGCTCTGTCAGCAGACAGATCCCCTGCTGAGCAAGTGGATCCACTTATGGGTCTGCCTAGTGCAAAAGGGGCCTAAATGTCTCTGTCTTGTCCTTTTAGACCCCTTTCACACAGGGCAGACTCATCAGCAAATCCGATTGCTCGGCGGGGATCTGTCTGCTGATCCCTACTGCGCAAGCGGATGAAAGGTCCATCTGTGCTCTCTGCTTATACAGAGCAGACACGGACACGGCCTGCTATCCTCTATGGGGAGTCAGATGGAAATGGCCTGCCTGTCCATTTCCATCTGACTGTCATCCGATTCGATGGACAAAAGCGGAAAGGATGCCCATCTGTCTCTTTTTGGCAGATCAGACAGGATGTCAGCTGGTGTAAATGGACACATGTACGTTTACACCCGCTGCTCCATGGAGGAGAATGGATGTTCCGATAGGGTCCGCCTAAAAAACGGGCAGGCAGACCCAATCGAAATGTCCATGTGAAAGGGTCCTTACTTGGCACCAATGCATTAGTAAAATAAACATTTGTCCATCTTTGTGCACTGTATTATGAAAGCCATGCTAGGTTTACCCATCCAAATGGTGAGCAGTTTCTTTCCTGGTAAATTTCCTGTGTTATCTTCTTTTCTTCAAAAATAAAGGTTGAAGTAGTTCAAAACTGAATGCCAAATTTGAAAAGGAGGTCCTTGCTTCCCTTGCATGTACACCAATACAAATTGTTATTAGGAGCAATCCTTCTCTGTAATTCATTGCACCCTGTTTTTGGAAGCTGTAATTAGTTCCCCCATTAACTGGTTATACATAATGCAAAAGATTGGATGGGTGGCTAATCTTGTAAATACCAAAGCTTAATTTATCCTCCAGGGCTATCAACTCTAAAAAAATAAAAACTTTGCCTTACCGGATATGGTCAAGGCAGTTTGGAATCATATCTTTTCCATGTCAAATAAGGATGCTGTTTGAGTCACTTGTGTGACAACAATTAGCTGGGAGGTTTGTGTACATAATGTAATTACAATATTTGGCACTAGGTTTTGCACTATTTCAATATTTATCAGTACCTAAAAAAAGCTTGTTAACTCAAATGAAAGATTTGTACATGCTTCATATTGCTAGTGGTGGTCAGTACGAGGGCAAATAAACACATATCTGGGAAAACTGGGTTATTAGAATTATTGTAAGGACATAGGGTCAGACATCACTTTCACCTTGGTGTAGGTGGATCCATTGTAGACAATGGCATCAGTAGAATCCCAAGCATTCTCCTATCAATGTATGTAATTCTGTTAAAAGCTATTTTTTCTTGCAGTCAAAATTCCTGGGAACATCCAGGTAGGTTTTAAAAAGGATACTTTTAGCTCAGTAAACAGTATTGTTGTGTCTCCTGTGATCACATCTTCATCTCCTACTGCCATGGCAATAAAAACAAATGCTGAAAGATATGAATTCAACATCTTTAAAGGGACTAGAACATAGAAGCATATGCCTTCTGTAGAAACATTACCATCTAGGGGTAATTGTAATTGCCACTGTGCAAGATGTCATCCTTCTGATTAGATAAGCAATCAAAAGATATTGTATGAGTTTTGTCTTATGATGGACAGATTATACAAGTGAAAGCAAACACCTGAAAGACAGCATGTGTAATGTACTTTGTGTATTCAGGGTTGAAGGTGCCGGGCTGTCTGGGGTGGGCTCCTGGCTGGCCTGGGTGCCTGACTGTTCATTCACTTTCTGTTCGATTATATCACTGTTACATTTTAGTTGCTAGCTGTTGAATAGCTGTTAATTAGATCACTGTTAGCCGTTGGCTGTACTGTTTACCATTTGTACTGTTAGGGTAATATGATCAAGCTCTTACCTACTCTATGTAGAATGTTTATCCCAATGTATAATATTTGTTTTATTGTTCATGTGGGGACTGCCCCTATTTTTGAAGTGTATAAAAACCTGTATTTCTGTTCAATAAAGAGTTCCAGAGTTGCACCTAAGCTAGTGTTGTCTAGTTCTTGGGTGCAAGGCCCAGCTATATCTTGGTCCTGTGGTCACACAGACCATCACACATAGTGTACTGTATAGGACCTTGTTAAACTTCTCTTTCTAAAACCATGGGCATTAATATGCAGCTGGCCCTCCCTATGCAACTATGGGAATTTGTGCCCATTCTCCCAAAACATTTGTGAGGTCACCCAAAAAAGCATTTGTGCACTTTGACAAAAAAAAACCTGGCTTGCAATCAGAATTCCAATCCATCTCACATGTGTTCAGTAAGGCTAAGGTCAGGGTTCTGTGTATTCCACCTGAATTCTTCTATACCAAACTCATAATATCATGTCCAGGGGCAGACTGACCATTCAGACACTCGGGCACTGCCCAAGGGCCCGGGATCAGTAGGGGGCCCCATGAGATGCCCCTGGTACCTTTCATAGGCTTTTTATGGGAGTGGTTTGAGTGTGAGTGAGGACACAGGGGCTCCATGATCCCCTATTGCCCGGGGGCCCCATGAGTTGTCAGTCCGCCCCTGATCATGTCATTACAGAGCTGGTCTTGTATACAGGGTACAGTAATGCTGCAACAGAAAAGGGCCTTCCCCAAACCGTTGCCACAACCTAGGAAGTACACAATTACCTAAGATGTCTTTGTATACGGCAACATTAATGGTACTCTTCAGTGGAAACATCCAAAATCACAAAAGTTGAGGGTTGGGGTCATATAGTACTGTAGGTCATGTGTCCACAAACTTTTTTGGCCAGATAATGTAATTTCCAGTTTGGCTTTCCTGTGGAAGATTTTGTTCATAGCATGACATTAGTTTACATTTAGGTAATGTATACTGTAACAATGGTATGTGACTATGGCCTTATGATTTAAAAGCAGGATTATTATGATCTAAATTCTGGTAAAAAGTAATCTGTTTGGGTGGAAAATTCAACTTAGAACATTATGTGTGGAAGTAGTACCCTCTCTTTGATGTCTCTTTAGTGTCTCCCTTCTGTAGATGTTTTCTTCCACCTTGGTTTACAACATTTTGACACCTGTATCTTCAGGCTTGGCATCTGGCTTCGGCACCTGTTTTGTCTTCTAAGGCTACTTTCACACTGATCCACCGCAAAAAGAAAGCAAAAACGCATAGGCGTTTTTACCGCGCTTTTGCCTCGCTTTCTGAGTGTTTTTAAAGGACACGTGACTTAAAAACTGCATCAGAAATGCTTCTCGGAGGCGTTTTTGAGGCTTTTTTCAAGCGTTTTCCATTGATTTTAATGAGAAGAGGTGTTTTTGGGCTGTTTTTGTTGACTCACCAAACACGCCTCTAAGATGCTGCAAGCAGGAGTTTTTACACCGCACTGCCTGAGTGTGAAAACATACATAGATATACATTCACATACATAGGGAAGCATTTTTCTTGAGCTTTTCAGTTTTTTTTTTTAACTGAAAAATGCTTCAAAAACTCCTCAGTGTGAAAGTAGCCTTATAGTAAAAATGATTCAAAAGACAAATGTGCTGACCTCATTCTGTGTTTCCTTGTTTGTCTATCGGGATGTCAAGGGCAACTCTCTGTAAGACTTCCTCAAGATTAGCGGAGGACAGCTATTTATTAATCACTTCAGGGTTTCTTGGAAACAATTGCAAAGTCATGAGAAAGTGGACAATGTTTAAAAATGCACCTCAGCAAAATAAATTACAAAAATAGAATGGCAGCTATCAAAATTTGGGAGGAAATGGCTATGGATGAAATTGAGGTGAGGTAAAAGGATAGGATCTGACACTTCCACAACAGTTGGATTCCTATTCATTTTGCAATGCAACTAATAAAAACTTATAACACATGTATCCATCATGCTTTATGTTTTAATTAAAGCATTTATATAAAAGCATTAACTGGTGTCAAGGTCTTTTAAAGCATATTGTGTGGGTATAAAGACTGTGGCATATGTTTGCTGTGTGTAGCGCCCCTCTAGTTAACTAGAGAGAGCTAGCTATTTAGTTTTTCAGATAGAAAGGGGGTAGTGCTACAGGTTTAACAGCAAGTAGGCTTAGCTCCTCTTTATCTATACCCCTTTAGACCCATCCCAATGTCAGAGCAGAATGGCCATACTTACCATTGGTAGGCATCATACCTCAACTTGCAGTGCCTAGGAATGCCTGAAGACTTTCACAATCCTAGGCCAACCCTGTGTTGTGTTCACTATCTGTGCTCCAGGTATTGGGGATTCAAGGGTGGGTGGAAAATGATCTAAAGATCTAAGCAGGCATCTGTAGATACCTACTGTATCTATTGTGACCAGTTTAGGAACCCTCCTCCCACAGGTTCACCTTAACCATTTGATAACTTAAAGTGTTACTAAACCCAGGGCCCTGCATTCAATCTATCTGGTCTCCCACAGTACACATGGAAGTGTAATTATTTTAGTAAATATAAACTGCTAAATACCTTTGCTCATCAGCAGTTAGAGAAGATTTGTGACTTCTATCAGTGTCCAGCAGAGCACATGTTAAAGCTTGTAGGAGGAGTTTTTCTTTCTGCTCTAAGAGGATGCAGAACCCTTGACCTCGGTCTGGACAGTGCTGATTGGCCCTGTGCTGATCACATGCACTCTCCCAAGAAAAAAAAAAAAAAACCTCTCTAGCAATACACACCAAACTGAGCATGTGCAGAGTGACTCCACATGATATATCTTATCAGGAGATAAGAGGGGAACACTGGAAGAAGGGGAGGATCAAACCTCATTTTTACACAATGCAGAGGATTAACCCCTTAGGTTCCACAGTGTGTATAACAGACATGCTTTACTGCATATACAGACTAATTTTACTTTTGTGGGTTTAGAAACACTTTAAGTTAAGCCAGCAAGAAACACCTTTTACATCCTACAATATCCCTTCCCCTGCAGCTGTCTCCTAAATATGTAGACACAGGGATCCATTGTCAGTTAATATGCATGTATGAGTTTCCTTCTTTAACGATGGGGAACATTTTTATGTTTAAAGGCACCTCTATGACCCTAGCTAGCTCTCCCTGGCTGAGCCTGCTTGGAAAATGCCTATCCACCTGGTTAGATTGCAAACTCCTGTATCACTCCATCTTCCTACTCTATAGTCACATACATTTTTATCCACCATTATGTGAACTTCAACAGTCAGAATGTGCATGCACTGGCACTGAGAAAAGAAAAGACCTTTGGCATTGGGAAAAAATTTCCATAAACAAACACAGACAAAGTGATGGCTGGTATTTTAAAAGCCACTTCAGTCAATATTCCTACCTCGCAGATATGACCTAACATTTTCTAAGGGATGGTCCTGTAAAGCCAGTGAGACTTGAGAATTCAGGCCTTGGAAAACATGGCCTCTGCTTCAGGCCGTATTACACTATATTGCCAAAAGTATTGTGACAACCCTCCAAATCATTGGATTTAGGTGTTCCAATCACCTCCATAGCCAAAGGGTTAAAAAAATCAAGCACCTAGGCATGCAGACTGCTTCTACGGACATTTGTAAAAGAACTGATCACTCTCAGGAGCTCAGTGAATGCACGCATGGTACCATGATAGGTTGCCAATCAAGATGACCTCTCCAGCGCTCAGAGATCTAGATCCGGAGCAGGTGGATAAATCGACCTCCGTAGAACCCGGCCACCAAGGGATCAAAGGTTGTGCAGCCCTTCTGTAAGGCTGGGGAAGTCTGAACAACACTGCAAATAAGAACACAAGAAAGCGCACCAACCTTGCGCATTACCTCAGCAATACAAAGATTTTATTAAAATAAGATGTGTACTCACAAACGTAGCAGTATAAAAAGCGTATGGTATCCAAGAGTGATCACAGGAAATCAAGCAGCGTGAAAATCCCACAGACAGGGAGACTCTCACGAAAGGCTGACGCATTTTGAAGGGAGATCCCTTATTCCTCAGAGCCAACAAGATAGAGAATGCCCTCTTAGTATATCTCTAGATCCGAGAGTGTGCAGAGTAAGCATTTGTGTGTGTTCCTGGATCAGGATGGCAGATCCATAGGAAGAGTACTGATAAGTGAGAGAAGCATTTCCTCTGTGGGGAAGATCACAATGATGGCTCCTGGTGTATGTAGAGTGCAGGCCAGAGTGGGATGTCAGATTGCAGCTGTCCGGTGCCCAAGCACCTCTCTGGAATGGTCCCAGATTTAATACATCTCTATGCCTTGTGTGTGATTCTTAAATACAGTTGCATGAAAAAGTATGTGAACCCCTTGGGATTACGTGGAGTTTTGCATGAATTGGGCATAAAATGTGCTCTGAACGTCATGTAAGTCACAACAAAAGAAGAACAGTCTGCAGAACATAATACTACACAAACATTAGATGTTGCCATGGTTTAATTGCACATAACATGTAAACATTCACAGTGCAGGGAGGAAAAAGTATGTGAACCTTTGGACTTAATAACTGGTTGACCCTCCTTTGGCAGCAATAACCTCAACCAAACGTTTCCTGTAGTTGCAGATCAGACCTGCACAACGATCTGGAGTCATTTTGGACCACTCCTCTTCACAAAACTGTTTCAATGTAGCAATATTCTTGGGATGTCTGGTGTGAATCGCTCTCTTAAGGTCATGCCACAGCATTTCAATCGGGTTGAGGTCAGGACTCTGACTGGGCCACTCCAGAAGGCGTATTCTGTGCTGTTGCAGTCATTGTTTTGTTGAATTACTTGTATGCTTTGGGTCATTGTCCTGTTGCATCACCCATCCTCTGCGGAGCTTCAGTTGGCGGACAGATGGTCGTACGTTTTCCTGCAAAATGTCTTGATAAACTCTGGAATTCATTTTCCCATCAATGACAACAATCCGTCCAGGCCCTGAGGCAGCAAAGCAGCCCCAAACCATGATGCTCCCTCCGCCATGTTTTACAGTGGGGATGAGGTTTTGATGTTGGTGTGCTGTGCCTTTTTTTCTCCACACATAGTGTTGTGTGTTCTTCCCAAACAACTCAATCTTGGTTTCATCTGTCCACAGTATATTTTGCCAGTAGTGCTGTGGAACATCCAGGTGCTCTTTTGCAAACTTCAAATGTGCTGCAATATTCTTTTTGGACAGCAATGGCTTTCTCCGTGGTGTCCTCCCATGTACTCCATTCTTGTTTAATGTTTTCCTTATTGTAGATGTGTCAACAAAAATGTTAGCATGTGCCAGAGATTTCTGTAGGTCTTTAGCTGACACTCTGGGATTCTTCTTTACCTCATGTAGCAATCTGCGCTGTGCTCTTGCAGTCATTTTTACAGGACGACCACGCCTAGGGAGAGTAGCAACAGTGAGGCCTTCAACTTATCACACAAGGGTAAGTTTACTCACATATGAACAGCATGGGTGATAACATAACATTGCCTCTGTACCAGCGATAGCTAATATACTGTACATCTTTTCTGAAAATCGGTGGGACTTATGTGCCCTCCTTTGATGCTCATCTCTCCCATTCTTTCTAATTCTACCGTGTGAACCAGTGGGTGTTTAGGTTTTGTGCTGCCCTAGCAACACAAATATAGGCTCCCCCCCACGGAGAGACCCTGACACTGACCAACACCCCCCCCCCCCCGAAGGGAGCCTGACATTGACTAACAACACCCCAGCCCCCACCCAAGACAGCCTTCCACTACCACCCCCCCCATACACTGGCAACCCCCCCCCCCCCCACCCTGGCAAGAGAGAAGACACTCACCTTCACATCTCCGGACATCCCCGGGAACAAGAGTCAGGCTCTGTATACACCATCAAGCAGCCTGCAGCCTCTCTCAGATCCCACCTGGTCCCTATGCTGCATGTGTCCCTTCTTTCATTCTTTCTTTCAGGGGGGGCGGTGCTGCCCCCCTCAAAAATGCCTCTGCCCCAATGAAAAATGCCGCCATAGGCAATTGCTTTGTTGGCATTGTGGTAAATACGCTCCTGGTGTGAATGCCAGTCAATACAGAGAGAAATAGATACTTTTCTTTTAAATTTGAATTTAATTTTTGTGTAACTTGATATGTAAATACATGTATATTTGGATGCATGACATTACATTGGTGTTATGTATGTTTTAGATTGGCTTTATGTGTATGTTTATAATGACAATATTTGCAACATGGTGATAGGAGATGTGAGCTAGGAGGTGTAGCATCTCTTTTTTATTATCTATCAGCATATTTTGGAGCACAGATATTCGGCTGTGTACTTGGTCTTAAGAACATTGTGTGCTCTCTTACAATAAACATTAATTGTTTTAACTGATAGTCATGTAATTATGCAAAACTCTTTTCTGATATCTTGAAAATCCCACTGTAGGCGTCTGTACAGGAAGAAGTCTAGATCCTGGATTTAATCTATATCATATCTTTCATTGTCAGCAAGCCTGAAAGCCTAATTTAGTTTTTAGTTTTTGGGATATAAGAACAAACATGTTAGTTATGTGTAATGGTGTTTGTGTATTTGTGTTTTTCCCCATTACCTGAAGTCTGCTGCTGTTAGTAAAAATTTTCCATTGAGTGTCTCCTTTAGAGCTGTCAGATACTCCCCGAGCAGCTATATTCTGGAGCTGTGAAGGTTAAAAGCAGCCTCTGCAGCTGAGAAAAGAAGCACCACTTGCCCGCCTCCCTCTGCCATTCACAAAACTCGTATTACTGTTCTCCTACAATTCACTGTGTTCTGTGAATGGATGAGAGCACTTGAATGACAGGGTCTCCACCATCCTTTCACAGAATGAGATGAATTGTGTGAGAGTAGCAATACAAACAATATAAATGGTGGAGGGGCAGCAGGCGGTGGGCAAGAAGTGCAACTTTTCTCAATGGCAGCTGTTAACTCTCATAGTATTGGAAGACAGCTGCTCAAGGCAGTATCCAGCAGTTCCAAAAGAGGAACTCAATGGAAGATTTTTACCAGTAGTTGTTTGCAGGTAATAGGATACACACAACTACACATATCTATTGTTCAGCTTTAAGGTTTTACTAAATTCAGGACCCTGCATTCACTATATCCGCTCTCCCCGGACCCTGCATTCACTGTATCTGGTCTCCCACAGTACACAGAACATGGAAATGCAATTATTTTAGTAAATATAAACTGATAAATACCTTTTCTCACCAGCAGTATATAGCAGTCTTGTGACTTCTATCAGTGTCCAGCAGAGCACTGGTTAAAGCTTGTAGGAGGAGTTTCCTTTCTGCTCTAGGAGGATACAGAACCCCTGACCTCTGTCTGGACAGTGCTGATTGGCCCTGTACTGATCACATGCACTATCCCAAGAAAAAAAACCTCTTAATACACACCAAACTGAGCATGTGCAGTGTCTCCACAGGATATGTCTTATCAGGAGATAAGAGGGAGACACTGGAAGAACAGGAGGATCAGAGAAGTCAGAATCGAACAGCATTTTACACAATGCAGAGGATTAACCCCTTAGGTTCCACAGTGAGTATAACAAGCATGCTTTACTGCATATACAGACTGATTTTACTGTTGTGGGTTTAGTAACACTTTAACAATGGGTAACATATGGGCTATCACTTTATATGTATTTCAATAAAATAATTTTTTTTTATCACAGCATATTTAAAGTGTATCTAAACTCAGAAACTAAAATGTAATACATTGTAGTTGAACATTCCTTTGATGCATTGGCTGCATTAGCTTTCTTTTTGTCAGGCTTTTTAACTTCATTTTCACGTGGTGATTATGCCAGTAACAAACTTCATGTTCTAAAGTCACAACACTCACTGTACAGTATCTATGGAGGAGTAGCCTCTTAGAACAGGAAGGGTGTTGAGCAAGGGCGGACTGACCATTTGTAAACCCGGGCACTGCCCGAGGGCCCGGGGTCAGTAGGGGGCCCCATGAGATGCCCCTGGTATCTTTTTCTTAGGCTTTTTGAGTTTGGGCAAGGACACAGGGGCCCCATGATCCCCTATTGCCTGGGGGCCCAAGAGTTGTCAGTCCGCCCCTGGTGTTGAGACTACAGAAACACCCCCCCCTCTCTCTCTCATATCAACGGCATATGATAGGCATGTTGTAGCTTACAGAAATTAATTGTGTGGGTCTGATAATGTTGCTAGATATTACATACACTGCAGAGTGCACTGGACACAGGAAAGATTCTACCTGCAGCAAGGCCAAGATTGATGGGATACTGTACTGCCCCTGTGTTATCACTTTCAGGTCTCAAGCACTGCCAGTCTGGTCTAACACAAAGATGTGCACACACAGGCTGATGTGCTCACATGGATTCCTATACTGCCCAGAGGAAGGAGTTTCCCATAAAAAGATATTCCACTACTCCCCCTTCCCCCTCAAAATCTCAGTAGTGTAAGGGTCCACGAGTCCCATTCTATGGATGATGTTCTGGACTTCGATTCTTATGATCCTCAGTGTTCTACCTAGAAGTCCATAGACTTTCCTAGCTGTAGCTCTCCCCCTGCTGAATGGAGGGGAATATTGAAACATCCAGCATAACAGTAGAAAGTGAAAGTGACTGTAAAGAGGGCAATGTCTCCTTCTCCATGTTTCTGTAGTCCAGGACCTGTCTACAGTTCTTTCCTGCGTGATCTGATGACCTTGTCACTGCTGAAAAACTGTCCTTGAGAGGGTAATATACAACATCATACCTTAACTTTGGCTGGGAAAAACATAAGTCAGCAGCTACTGTACCGTAGTTGCTGGCTTTTAATAAAACATGCACTTACCAGTCCAGAGATCCACAGCTGTCCTCACCTGGGCTGTTCTTCTCCAATCCCAAGCACCACCATCTTGGATGTGGCAAACCGGATGTGACTTCCTGGTGCTTTACAGCCAGCTCCCCTTTGCACATGTGTGAGATGTACTGTGCTTTCTCAAAGTTTCCGCAGTCTCCGGAGACCTGTGATGTGTCCCAGGAGGTTGCAGGGTAGGGTGGTGTGCAGAGTGGAAGTGGAATCAGGTACCTGTCAGAAATAGATACCCACTACCAGAAAAAAAAAAATCCAAAAGTAGAGGAGGGGAGAAAAAAAGTTAGAGAGGCGGGCTGATGATGTCACAACCGCTGACTCATTGATAGAATACATTGCTTTCTATGAGTGGCTGAGCGCTGCTCAGACAGACTCTATTGTGTTCTGGGTCTGAGACAAGAAGGTCTCGGTTTTCACCGGAACACAGTGCTATATACTGTATGTAGCCTCTGATACAAACAGTTTACACAGCACATCCAGGGGCCTCACATGTCAGTTCAGTTGGGCCATCTTGTAAAGTGGACCAAAAAAAGCTGGACTTCAGCTTTAAGAATAAAAAATGAAGATTGTTCTCCAGTTGATAAATGACACTTCCTTTCGTAATTTTGGAGCTAACTACTTCAGCAAATGTTTTATAGATTCTTTGTCTGGAATTAAATATTGTAGATTGACATTTTTACTGTTAGGTTCTGAAGTGCCATGTTTTTCTGGAATAATGTAGGTGCAGCCCTAATGCAGCCCCCTTGAATATTTGGTCCTCTCCATTTGGGCCACTGTTTGACATGCTTGCTTTAGCCCAGGTTCACACAATGCGGTGTGGGAAATGCTGAAAATCCTGTGCAATCGCAATCTGTTTATGCGATCTGGTGCAAGTGTCAATGATAAATTAATGACACTCCGAAACTGATTGCAAAAGGCGATGCGATTGCCAGAAATAGCATCGCATAGTGAGAACACCCAAGCGATGCGATTCAGGTCAGGATTTAAAAAATTTTTGGTGCGGATGCAATGTGATTTGAGCCATAGAAAATGTATGGCTCAAGCCGCACTGCACAGACATTATTTTATTTATTTATTACAGGTACTTATATAGCGCCATCAATTTACGCAGTGCTTTACATATACAGTTGCAAGAAAAAAGTATGTGAACCCCTTGGGATTACGTGGAGTTTTGCATGAATTGGGCATAAAATGTGCTCTGAACGTCATCTAAGTCACAACAATAGAAGAACACAGTCTGCTGAACATAATACTACACAAACATTAGATGTTGCCATGGTTTAATTGCACATAACATGTAAACATTCACAGTGCAGGAGGAAAAAGTATGTGAGGCCCTAGCTTAATGACTTCTCCCAGAGCTAATTGGAGCCAGGAGTGAGCCAACCTTGACTCCAATCAGTGTGATGATATTGGATGTGTTGCTGACAGCTGTCCTGCCTTTAAAAAACACACCTGTTTTGGGTTTACTAGTTTCAAGAAGCACTTTTTGCTGCTCCCTGAATGCCTAGCAAATAGGATATATATATATATATTGCTTCTTCTATTACAAGCTGCTTGATGACAGGGTCATGTTAAGATATTACTGACAAATATTTCATTACATTTTTTGCATAATGCAATTTACACTGTTGACTCCGTTTTGTAAAATTCTGTTCTCCTCAATGGGAAAATTGGGAAATGTATGATCTTTGTGCATTTAACCTCCTTGGAGGTATTCCCGAGTGTAGCTCGGGGGTAACATTTCAGTACCAAAAGCGGTAACCCCGAGCTACACTCGGGAATACCATGCGGCACTGCTCCGGCATTTGTGCTTCACTTACCTTACCCTGCGCTCCCACGATGTGTCCCCTGCAGCGTCCCCGGCCATCTCCTCCGGCCGATGCCGGTGTTGCATGAAGATGTGTCTCCTGTGAGGATCTGCCCCCCTTGATGTATCTGCGCATGTGCCAGTTTCAGGCATAAGCAGACGATCAGCGATCTCGCTCTGAGAAAGTGTTAACTCCTTTCATGCTGGATTGCAATTACAGGAGTCACATCCCTCGGATCACTGCTGCTGCTGCTGACGATCCTAATGTCGCCAAGCTGCTTGGGGGCTGCTTGGGGGGGGGGTGACATGGCAAGTACAGCCACATGTGGGGGGATCAGTGATATTGGGGGGCCATAACATGTTTTGGTGGTGCAGTTACACGTGGGTGCCAGTCACATGGGGGTGGGGATTTGCAGCAAGGGAGACTGAGCTTATTGCTAGGGGGGGGGGGATATTTGCGTCAATGGGGGGGCAGATCTTCACGGGGGACAGATCTTGCTGCAACACCGTCACCCAGCTGTCACAAGTGTCACATGATCCCACCTGTCAGACCCTTTACCAAGCCTTGTGCAGAGATGTAATGCTTATATATAAAATATCACATTAACATCTATAAAATATACTTGATAGAGTAAGCAGAGTGCCCAGAACAAATATGGCCGCTCCTGTGCATGTGATGGAATCAGTGGGCGCCACGTGGCTGTATTGTTTAGTAGAGGGCAGAGACCTCGGAGCCATTTTGTTGAAGCCCAGAGGGTCCAGCTGGTGTCCAGAGACTGAGAGTCTTGTAGGGATCATGGTGTGGGTAGATGGCTGTTCGTGGTGCTGGCTTGTCCCTGTGTGAGGGGGACTGTGTTCTGGTTTAGTTTGCTGCCTTTGTTTTATTTATTGACAGTTCTATAGGGAAGGTGATTGTTATCTGTCATGAATTTTTAGATAGATAAACTCAGAGCAAATCTATACTAATAGCAATCAGATATTAATAAAGACAAGAATGGTTTGTATCAGAACTAATACCTTGTCCATGTTTGTACATCGTGTGTGTACAATCTACAATGTAAATCAATGATAGGAGGACTGATGACCAATGTATATCATGTGTCATGGCTGACACTAGATGTAGCTGTAAGCATTGATCATATATCAATGCAGTATATTAAGGGGTTTTGGGGCTTTGCCCAATATCTATTTATGGAAATCTCTATTTATGGAAATCTCTATTTATGGAAATATCTATTAATGGAAATATCTATTAATGGAAATAATGGATCCTCTCTCCCACAAATTGTTACATTACATTTTTTCGAAATGATCACATGTTCCCTTCCCCATCCATAAGTGAATGGCATTGTTTGCAATATCCTGGATTTGTTTCCTTTTTATATATATATTGTCTTGAAGTATAAATAAGCCCTTTAATTAAATAAGAGAGAGTTGTGATCTGTTTTAAAGGAAGAGGGAGTGGTGTCCTTTTTTTTATTTTTAGTTGCTTAGTAAACTTGCTTTATAATAGGAAAAATCCAGCGCTGTGCATGTCTTTAGAAATCATTTCCTCTACTTTCTGCTTTCTAGCTGGGGAGAATCAGGATCCACTGGCACTCTTATTGGCGGTAGTTGCTTTACAAATAATTGAAGTGGTGTGGACGATGTGTGTCGTATCATGAGGGTGACAACACTTTCCTGCATAAATGTTGAGTTGTGAGTAAACGTTGTCACTGTCTTGGAGGAAGTTCATGTGCAGGTGCTTACTGGCAGGATCACCAGGTACAACAACAGTGAGAAAAAAAGACACTGTGTGAGGCTAAGCTAACAGATCCTATCTTTTTTATTCTTGGGTTTACATACGCTTTAAACATGGAGCAAAGGCAGGTGAAAATCACAGTCACCAGTTCCCCCAGGAAAAGAGCCAAAACATGGGAGATATCAGATTCAGAAGAGGAAGAGCCAGACTGTATTCTAAC